CCTCCCCCCGTCTAATCGCGGCTATGGGAATTGTCGACAAATAACTAGAGGAAACCTTAATATTAGTTTACCCTTAAACCGGTCGAAATTTATGGCTCCTGAATCAATATTTATGTCAACAATACATTTGTTAGCACTCAATACACACAAAAAAAAAAAACAATGTACACAAACGTACCTAACGGTGTGGTTGACTTTTGTGGAGCAGTGGATGACGTTTTCGTTGGAACGGGCGAAACGAACGAGGTCGACGCCATATTTTCTGCAGTGCAAGGTTCTCGATTGATAACCCAAAGTTGTATCGTACAGGCCTATATGTCCGTTTTCGGTGCACGACACCAAGTAATTGCCGTCCAAAGAGAAATCCACGTTTCTCACCGTGTCCAGGTTGTTATCAAAGCCGAACTTTTTGCACACCTTGAAGTCGCTCACGACCGAGTCGGTCAACATGGCACACGCCGTCATGTTCGCCTGGCAAACGGTTGCAAAATATGCGTAAAACGAAAACTGATTAGGTTCGTACCAGCCCTTACCGTGTATTTATTCACATATAGCGATAAGGCAATATGTCGTCGGCGATATTGTGCTAAAAACACAAAATGCCGCTCGACACATAATAATGTATACTCTCAGCAGATAGCACAGAACGGAGGGCGGACGCGAGTTGCGCAATGCTTTACACAGACTTTGGTTTATCGATTGCAGCGCTGTCTCATACTAAAGGTGAATATATATGTATATATATATGGTGCTTTTGCCCTTTACGGCCTTTACAAGGGTCCGAGACGCATTCCGAATAACAGCGGTGGGATGATAAGTTTTTTTTATGGTAAAATACATAAAAAAAATTGGTATTAATTTGTACACTCTTTTCTCACCCTATAATTCATATTGACTTGTATGCAACTATAACTTTCCGCGTTTTTCAAAAATTACTCTTTCCCTTTTAAAATCGAGAAAAACACTCGCTCTTTAAAATGTTTTAAAAATAGTCGAATTAACTCCAAATTTGCGTGGAATATTTTTTAAACATAGTATACTACCGACCGAACATTGATAAACCAAAAAAATATCTTAAGTCTTTTTTTTCAAGCAGTTTTCTTAAAAATTAGACTGACGGTAGATCTACAATGGAACTATACCTAACATATAGAATTTTATCAAAAATCTGTACTCAACAATTTTTTTTTTTATCAAAGAAAACCCCCAAAAAGGGGAAAATTACACTTTGACTGTAGTCAATTTCCAGGTTGCTCTGTGTGAGTGAATCGACAGTCAACAAGTAATGAACATATTTGTATTATATTGTTAATCATGATATATGGGTTATGGCAATACAATTTTATAGACAGACGGTCAACCCTAATTGTATCCACCCTAATACTAAAAACTAATTTTTAAGCCCTTAATATTGTCGTTAGGTACAATGCTGTTATCGATACTTTTATTTTTATCTGTGAACACTGACCCTCCCTTACTTACTCACTACTAACTTTCAGTTATATTAATATAATATATGTAAGTCTGTGACATCCCCGCCCCTACTATGCCTGGACCTCACTTTACTGGTTTTTTACTTTTATTAAAATAATAAAATCGTGGCAAGTCGTGGAGTTGAAAATCTGTATCCGCCTAATTTAATAAAATAAAAGTAAAAAAATGAAATGACACAATTAGGTTAAACACATATTTTATGGTCTATATATTATTTATATTTATAATGGGTTTTACTATTCACATAGAAACGTATATTATATAAAAGTGATTTTATCACTAGGTTATAATTATTATTCATATGCTTGTCACCACAACTATACCTATTCTGATAATATGTTCCAACCCAGTAGGCTTGGTCCCACTGTGTATCTATTAAGAGCTAATGATGGGCAGGTATCTGAAATGTATAGCAATTGAATTATACATATCTATTATTATAATACTAGCAAATTGTGACTGAAAATAGAAATGGGGTGTTTATATACACAGCATGTATAAACAATAAAAAATACAATATAGAAAAAAATATAACTGGAGAAACGATGATATTATGTTTTTCTATCCAAAAAACTCTTGTACCTATAGTAATTAATAGGTAAAGGTATATTGCTATCAATAAATTTATTTTTAAGAAATAATGCTAGATGCACTTACAATTATCAACTATGGATATATTTACGTTAAATGGTTAGAGCATCATTTAACTTAAATTCCCATTTTTTTTTTTGAACATTTGTAGGACGTGTTACTAAACGCAATGTAAATTATTTACCGCCGAATAAAATATACTGGCCGAAAAAAATTAACTTGTGCTTGTTTTTTTTTTCAATACAATCTTTCTAAATATTACATTTGTATACAAATTACTAATAAATACAAACACAATATTATGTTTTTGCCGGAAAAGATCACCGAGTGTTTCGAGAAATGGTTGTCGTTGTTGTTTCTATCAATATACTCGGAGTTTTAAATAATTGAACACTAATACCGTTATTTATCATACATAATATGTCGGCGATGGAGGTGCTACAAAATTGGATAATACCAACAATTAGCACGGTAATGCATAAACAAATTGGACAGAAAGATCTACCCAATACACTTCGAGTTCAATATATTAATTATTTTAACTGGACCGGGATTACTGCTTTTCCTTTTTAAAAAAATAAGAAATAATGAGAATAACGCCATGTATAAACCATGTTTTAACAATAATAATAATATAATATTTTATTAAGAATAAATTATTTCCCAATCTTGCGTGGGTTAACGTTTTCTTTTGTCTACTATAAAACAGTCGTATATGATTGTAATTCACGGATACTTTATAATTCATTTGGCAAAATCTTCTTGGACGACTTTGAGCAGAGCTCTAAGAAAATGGATGAAGAACAGGCGGGTGGAAGAAGAGTTCAAACACATAGTTACAAAACAAACGGAATTGGTTAGAAAATTAGGTGCGTACCTTTAAAATTGTACTTTTTACAGCTGCGAATACCGTTTGTCCCTTTGGCGTTCACTCGCCTTGCTTGTATTATGATGGTACTAGTTAAATTAAGAGACGTGTCCCAAAAAGGAAACTACAAAACCACTAAGGTTTTTTGTAAACATTGTTAGTTGTAGTAGACTGTAGTCGTGTTCATAATTTCAACTGAAAATTCGCGAAAAGTTAGATCCAAATGTTTTATAATAGTTATATGCAATTTGGAAAAGATGACGAAGCTGTCCCTTCCCAATAAGATATCTTCATATTTTTTAGCGGTTTTTTGGTCGTCAAATCTACATGACTTATAAAAAAAACAAATTACATTATAAATTATTGTTTCCCGTTGAGGGAAGTGTTAAGTACGAGGTGTGGCAATTAAATGACGAGAATTTATTTCTAGCTCCTATAGTGGTAACACTGACATATTGAAAATTTTTTGACGTAAAGTTCACGAGATTATACACAACTCTGCCACGTTTGATAGTGATCGGTGTAATATTTTTGTGCTCTGCGATTTTTCAAAGTTAGTAGTTAGTGTCGTGACGTACAAAAATGTGCGACGTGAAATGCGAGCAACGAATCGTCATCAAGTTTTTAGTGAAATCTGGCGAAAAACCGGTCGAAATTTTTTTTGTAAATTGCAACGCGTGTTCGGTAATGACTGTTTATCAAAACCACGTGTGCACGAATGGGCTAAACGTTTTGCATCGGGCCGAGAACCAACGCAAGACGATGCAAGGTCAGGTGCCCCTAAAATCGTGCACACTAGGCAAAATGTCGAACGTTTGAGAGTGTTGGTGCGGTCGGATCGACGCCTCACAATCCGAACGATGTCAAGTGAACTCGGTATTAATAAAGAGACCATTCGCCAGATGGCGATTGTGTCACAGAGTGTCTCGTGTGAGACCGGAATTAGCCAAAAATGGTTGGGTCCTTCACCGTGACAATGCGCCTGCTCACACATCATTAAAAGTTCAACAGTTTTTGACCAGTAGGAACATAACAACGCTCCCCCACCCCCCCGTACAGCCCTGATCTGGCTCCACTGGACTTCTGGCTATTTCCAAAGTTGAAGGCACCGATGAAGGGACATCGCTATAAGGGGATTTGGAGGACATTAAACGTGCCGTAACGTCGGTGTTGAAGAGCCTAACTTCTGGAGACTTCCAGGGGTGCTTCCGGAAATGGGAAGAACGCAGGACCAAGTGTGTTAGACTCGGAGGAGAGTACTGTGAAGGCACGGGTGCATAAATAGTTGTAAATATTAAATATATTTTTTAAAATTTAAAACTCTCGTTATTTAATTGCCACACCTCGTACCTACACTATACAGTATTTATATTTAAAGATAATAGTACAAGATTTAAAAACAGTAAATTTTACATTTTTTTTTTGTTTAACAACTAAAGAAAGCAGTTATTAATATGTCTTCGTAATAAAATTCAACTTTATAAATTAGAGGAACTACAAAGAACTCACCCAACTGATATGAAAATATACTTCTAGGTGTAATTAATCAGAACTATTTAACCGCTCATACTGACAAATGAAGTAATGGTGTTAAATAAAAAATCATTTGGTGGCGCAATAATGGTTTACCTAAAACTACCCTCTATAATGTCATTAAATCAGCACAATGAATTCGGTAACTTTAGAAATGGTTATATGCAGAATATAATATCTATAAAACTTTAAAAAATAAACCACCTGTCCTCTATAAGCATAAAAAAAAAGATTGATGAAAACTGAATGGAATTTAGTGACATTAAACACTTTTACAATGACCTGTTTTGAAGTCATAAAAACTAAAGGTTAGAATTATACGATCGCTAGTTTAAAATCATAACTATCAAACAAAAAAATAATGTTTAATTTAAACCCAATCAACGAGCTCAATCTAATACTATTTTAAAATATTTTAAGAATTTCACAGATTGTTATGCAACACTTTTCTTAAACGAGCATGCAACGTAAAAACTTAAAATGCATTTTTTTTTAAATTTTCATTTTGTTTTAGATGACATACACAACGAATTACAAAAGAATTTACGGGACATTCGTAAAGACATAATTTCTAATAAGGCAGCACTAAGAGAAGAAATCAGAGAAATTATGGGTATAATACAGATAATATTATGTACAGTAATCATTTTTGTTGACAATTATTTATTATTCATATATTAGCAAAAGTGAAGGTAATACAATATTACAGTCACTAGACACTTATGTGTCTCAACTTTGCAGTCTAAATTATACAATATTGTTTTAAATTGAAGTGTGTAAAAAAGCAATAAAAAAGTAATGTCAATGTTTCGATTAATGATTTCAGAAGAAGAGATGACCAAATTACGGTTGCACATATCTTGTTGTCTGAATCAACAGTCGCGAATTTTGACAAGTGAATCTAATAATTAGTTATCTATGTTTAATATTTAAGCAGTTTTATAATTTCATCCAAAGTTAAAATAAGAACCACCCTGCATTGACAAAGTCATTTTTCAATTGATTTTGTGCCCAAAGTTTAATAATTCTATACAGTATTATTCAAAACACCTCAATAAGGTACTATATCGGTAATAATTGTTATATTGGGCACTGACGCTAGCTAAATTTGCTAAACGTTTAACGATTTTTTTTTTAAATTTAGGTGGCCTCTTAAAATTATAATAATTAGCTCCTCTAAAACAATGTAATCGGTCATTTGAGAAACTTCATTAGTCACACATATAATGGAGAAACACCTCTTTTCACAGAGTATTTTTTTATTATAAATAATGATTTAAATTTGCTGTCGACAAGAGTTTTGAAAAAATTGTAAATGTTATAGCGCCATTGTATATGTTATATGTTCTAGATCTACCTTTAGTCTTTTTCTTAAATCATAAAACTTACCTAAAAAAGTGAAATAAAGTAAAAGTGTCTCTAGGGATATTATTTGATAAGTGTTTTTCATTTCCTGTCTTGCCATTTATATGCAACAAGTAATTTCTTACTCTTTCAATGACGTACCATACAAGCAGCACCTTGTCACAATACTTGTTATAAACAGTTTTATGATTATGTTTATTGAGAAAGGGTCTAAATTCTAAGCCACCCCCCCTCCGATGTTGACCATTAAAAACTTACTTCTGTTAGTAAATATTTATAATATAATATGTTATATAATTATAAATTAAAGATTTTTACTCACAATATTTGATTATAATATTATATTATTTGTATTCTATGTACTTTTCTTTTTACAACAAAACTAAATAAAATTAAATGATAAAATCAAGGTCTTAACTTTTAGGTTTTTGCAGTAAATCGTCGGTCTCTACGTTTACGGTTTTTGCTTATGGCAAATGTCCAATTATAATTTAAACAAATATATTTTTGAAAGTTTAAAGTAAATCTATGTAAAACCTATAGAATGCCTTTGTGGTGTTCTTTGTAAAGTTAAACTAGTGGTTTCGTTGTAAGAAAAAATGTAATTATTTGTTGTATATTTAATGCAAATTTGTCATGTGTAATACAATTTTTTTTTAGCCAGGGGATGTCCAGACACCGTGGACACCCCCCTCCCCTCCAAAATACGCCACTGCATCCGAGTCTATACCGTGTTTCGACCCTTTCTCAATAAACTTAATTATTATAAAACTGTCTACTAAGTTATTGTGACAAAGTGCATGCCTTGAATGGTGCGTACAATATACTTACTCCAAGATACTACTAGCAGGGCCCCGGACATTGATAACGATCGACAGACATTCGGTCGTAGGTCCCAAATGATAACAAGTTACCACTTTGGTCCTTTTTATTTTTACTGGTTATAACCAAGTTATACCAATTATAACTACTACTAATAATTATAATTATTGAAAATGTAATACTATAGGATCGCTCGGAACCCATTATAACAGCTTAAACCAATTAAACCGGGGATTTCTGATTTCATAGTTTTTTTTATTATTCTGCGGTGTTGCAGCGTTGAACTCGACTTCGATGGATTCCAGGACGTCGTTGCTGATGCCCCCGCCGCCATCTTATATGCCGCCGCAGTTCGTGTCGGCCTCAGCGTCGCCGACGCCGTCGAATTGCCATCTGTCGTCGCAATCGTTTCACATGTCTCGACCGCACTACGAACAGCCGCAGCACAACGCACCGTCGCCGCCGCCGCCGCTGCCGCCCCCGTTGCCGCCCATGAACCTCGGCACCGCGGCCGAGGACGACGAGTCGACGCCGCCGTCGTCGCCCGACAACCAATTGGCGAGAACGCAGCAAAAGAAACAGTCCAACATACCAGTGCGGCATGTAATCACTGTGCAAGCCTTGGAAAACCAAAAGAAAAAATTAAAAAAACTCAGAGAATGAAGTTGACAATATTGTATTCCAATCATACGACAATCATCGAAATAAGTGTGTTTTATACACATTAATAATTAACATTAACCGAATGCCGCCATTTTAAGACGTACGCTTTTATAATCGCATGAAATAGAACTGTTGTTTTATCCAAAGTATTTTTTGTTTCTTAATTCATCTACCCCTTTTTGTTATAAGGATGAAAATAGACTCGGAAATAATAAACACATCATAAAGGTAAGTTAACCTGTTTAATAATAATAAAATAAGCACTTTAATAGTCAATGGTTGACCGTAATAACCAACTGTATCATGGAGAAACACAAACTGACCGACTGACAATTACACATAATGAAAGCCTAGCTTATGTACTGTTATGCAAATTAAGTAAATGTAACAAACAACAGAAAAATAGGTTCAGCACAATAGATACCTTGTGTTTATATAAAGTTAATGCGTAATAGAAAATAAAGTCAACCAATGATACATTTTCGACAACACGAAAAAATCAACTTTTTAGGTAATAAACTCAACTTTAATGACTTTCTGTTACTCGAAAAAAAATTCAATATTTTTTTTCAGAAAGCTATGATTATTTTATATTACAAGCTGTGATTAAGAAAAAACATTTTTATATTGTTATTGATTTTACTTTTGTATTTTTTTATTTTCAGTTTTATTCTAAAACAATTCGATTTTTTATTTTTCTGCTAGGGCTCTAAAATTCCTTAATACGGCACTATTTTTTAGTAATTATTATTCGTCTTAACTATCAAAACCTGTCATCCTTTTAAAGTTAAACGAGCTTCTCGGTCAATCATTGAATGAAATAGTTCAGAATATCTAACGTTTTTATAATGTTTTAATTGTATTACTCAATTATTACCGCTTACCATATTTTTGTCTGAAGAGTTAATTATACCCCATACCCCATTGAATAGTAATATTGTATATTTATTTTAAGTAATTAGCCATGTCCCAAGCCTGTGTCACCAAAATTTTTCTTTTTGTAGAACTTTGCTCTTAGAATAACATACATTTTCCTATAATTTGCATTCAATCAATTGCTATTCAATTTTGATTTCTAAATGTCAATTTACATGTAATAATATTATTAACATAAAAAATTTGTAATCAATGAAATATCTAGTCTAGTTTAGGTTATAGGAAAATACCGGTAGATTTAGGTTATGTTTATTAGAGATACTCTTGTGTATTAATACAAAAAATTAGTCCTTATTTGAAAATCGAAAGTTCATGAACATTTAACGAGTTTAAGAGCTCCGATAATCGGCTTCCTATTATATAATATTTGATTAGGTAATGATTATAAGCAGTATTCGGGACTTAAGTACTTAACATCATAAGCATCATCAAGAGCTTAGGCCTATTATATAAGCTTACTTATAATAAGATTACATTTATCCATATAATACAGATTATATTTAAGTACTTTAATTAAGTATGCATAAATCAGCACTGTGACACAAAACGTGACGAAAAAATGTCCAGAATGACACCATGAGATTCATGTCCAAAGTAAACCGATGATTGCTTTAAATTCAATCACATCTAAATGGTCTACAAAAGTGGTTGATATGCCATATTTTTCGCTCAACTCCGTAATTTTTCCATTAGTTTTATCATGTACATTTTGTGAAATTTCATCATCAAAAAGTAAGTTGATATTATAATCGGTAAGAGCAACAAATATTTTTCTTGTCCTATTCTTGAACCCTATAATACCAGTTAAGGGTTAAAATGTGACTATTAATGTCTAATTTCTTAATAATATTGATTTTTAAATCCTCTCTCGATCCAACCGGTGCGGTGCTGTTGTTTTTCCTAATGTATGAAATAATAACAGCTATACGACGACAGCATTGGTTATAATAATAGTTTATTAATGAATATACTATCAATATATATATATTGATGTCGAAACATTAAAAGTTTAATAGATAAAACAACGGTTTTAACTAAATACAATTTATCTTATATGTTCTATGGAATACTCTCAATTTCTGTTCTAAACAATCCTGACGAAAGTAGTTGATCTTCATAAATCTCCACACGTTTCTGGTCGATTGATACAACGCCGTCTACCGTTAACTTCCCTTCCAATTCTATAACGCAATTTAAGTCTTCATTACAGCTTTGCGTAAATCTAAACTCAGGATTTAATGCACGCGTTATTATTCCGAGCAATTTGCATTTTTTGTCTTCGTCATTCACGCACATTCGGATGTTATCTGAAACCATACAATAGAATAATTATTGAATAGAAATATAATGGTTAAATATTACAAATTCTTGACAAGAAATAATAAAAAACATATAAAATAGTTATTCCGGATCTAGCTAAGTCTTAAAAAATAAATACATTAGCTTTTGCTTTAATCGTGTGGTTGCTATTGCTAGACTTTAGTCTACAGTCATTGTTCTATTCATTTAAAAAGTTTTTTTTTTACCCATAAGTCCTAATTACTTACACATAGATAGGTTAAGGATATTCCAAAGTTTGGTTTTAACGACGTTTTAAAATGAATATTATAAAAATGCTTACTCATTTGGTGATGTAGAACATGGTTGAATATAGTACGTATCAGCTGATGTCTGTTGTTTACTGCCGTGTCATAGTTAATTGGGTCTATAATATACAGATGATGTATTTAATTTAATTTTTAATGTTAAAGTTATACTTTGTAAATTACAAATAAGAATTTCAACTTTTTCAAATAATCATTAATTAATATAGTAGGGAATATTAATTAATATAGTCTTATTTAAGCACATTGTACAACTGTGATATTCACTCAAATACTACCTAAATAATTGTTCTGGAGAAAACTGTTATACTTACTATACTCAATTGGTAACGCTTGGCCTGTAATAAAGTGGTTGACTAAAGTCTGTTCTTGGGATACTATTGAATCAAAAGCTATAATCAAAACATTCCCCATTAAAATGTGTAAGTATGTAAAATTTCACTCTACCATAAAATATCACAAAAAAACGTCATTAATAAACATAGTTACTATTAATTATAAGTTATGCGGACGATATATCTTTACCTGTTGCTCTACCCCGCCTTGACAATAACGAAATAACTGAAAAATAGATTCGATTTTATAATACTATACTGTTAAATGGTTCCATATATATTTAGGTAATCGACAAAAGCCACTATAATCAAAATCTTAATTAAAAAATGAAACTTTTGTGTTTAAGCAAATTTTGTTTTGATATAAATTTGCCAGCTTGCAATATTAATGGATTAACAATAAAACCAGTAAATTTATAAAAAAAAACAATTTAAAACTACATCTTTAGTGTATTTACATGTAGAATTACGGATATCCTCTAAATAGTTTGTTAGTTATAAATGTGTAGTGTTAATGAAATGTAATAAAAGTCAAATACACGTTAGAACTAGAAAACATACACAATAACACTTAATATTCGATGCACAACTTAAGTAAAAATAAGATCAAATAAAGAGAACATCATGCTTCGGCAAGTCGTATCATCTTATACAATTTAGCATCGATCATATTATATATTACTAATAGTAATATAATTTGTATTATTATTAAACATTGTGATTTTGTTTATATACATGTATACATATTAGGTATAGCTTGAGATAGAAACTGAAAAGGTATTGATATCACAAAAACTAATTAATTTTTTCAATCTTGGATGCAGGTTTGTGAGGGATTTTCATTCTACATACCTAATAGTAATAACTTACAATCAAATTACACATTATTATTAACAACGTTTAAAAGAATACTGTCTAATACAGGGTGTCTCACAAAGATTAGTAAAATGAGATAACTCTTATTCTAGTGAATGGTTTTAAGATTTTTTTTTTAAAATTAGTTTATACTCATTTGCACTATAAAATAAAAAGGCCTTTTTTTATTGCAATTAACTGTTTTCGGTTTTTAATAGTTTTTGTAACATTTTTTTTTTTTAAATTCAAGATGACCATATATTATTCAGAATAATTTGATGAATATTTAGATTCGTCGATAACTAGATTTTAATACTTGCTTTTAATGTTATTTAAATTTTAAGTTAGAATGGGAGGTGCAGTGTGGTAGTTTCAGTTCATTTCTTTGTAGATCTATGATATCACCTAATCGTATAAAACATATTGTAAATTACCTGGCGGAAAAATCAATTTCTGAAGATTCTCTGAAAAAAAAAACACAAATAATTTGTTAAAAAAGAAAAGAAAAAGTAGTGCATGCGGGTTGCGTGAACGTTTAATTAATCAATACAAATTTAACGGTTCCTTAGACATCATTTTTAATTGAACGATTAAATGTACTAATAAAGTATACAACATGGCAAACGGTATTGATAGTACAACAAAACTATTCGGTAAGCAATGACAAATTAATAGCCTAATATTGTAAAATCGAGTTTACTTAAAACAAAAATATAATTTACACATAACAATACCATATTCGTATGAAAGAATGAGACCGTTGACCAGTTGGTATTTTTGATCTGGAATCAAAGTACAAAAACAAATTATTAATGAATTCGTTCATTAAACTTCAGCAATTACCATTCAATATTTAATAAAACATTTAAGTGAAGTAGGCATAGCACAGATAGTCTATAATTCTAGTGGAGATTGAAGAAGTTTGGGGAATTTTAACAAAGGTGTTATGTGTTATTTTCCCTACAAAAATGACTAAATAAATCACGAAAACAATTGCATACATTAAACCGATACCTTAAAGCTAACACAAACTAATTTAAAAAATCAAAATATATTAAAAACATGTGTAGATCAAATAGATCATGTAATGGTATACAACGACCATCAATGGAGGAAGAAGAGTCTGGGTTTGGAATGCTAAAGAATAGAAAATCGTCTGGAGCAGATGATATAATACAGGAATGCCTTAAGAACGGAGAAGAGCAATTAATACAGCAGCTACATAAGCTAAAAATTAAAATCTGGGATCATGAGGAAATACCAAAAGCATGGGACATCTCTATCTTATGCCCGGTGTTCATAAAGGGTGACACAATGAATTGTACAAATTATAGAGAGATCGAAGGCGCTTATTTACTGTTTGTGGACTTCAAGGCTGCACACGATTCAGTGAAAAGAGAATAACTATGGAGAGTAATATACCAAAAGGGGGGGGGGGGTACCAAGAAAGATATTAAGAATGATTCGAGCATGTATGCATGGGTCGAAATGTAAAGTAAAGTACGAAGGGCAAGAGTCAGAAGAATTTGAAGTAGGATTAGGCTTAAGACTGGGAGATGCTTTGTCTCCAGCCTTTTTCAATATAGCACTAGAATTAGTTATGAGAGAGACCTAGACTGGAGCCACAGGAATCAAAATAAAAAATGACCAGCACCTGGTAGTGGCAGGATATGCAGATGATGTTATAAAAATGGCGGAGAGCGAGGAAGACCTAATGAGAACTACTAGCAAATAGATAGAAGTATATACGAACAAATTTGATTTATGATAAATGAGATAAAAACAAATTACATGATAGCCACGACACATAACCGTGAAACGAGACAGTTGGAAATGAATAATTATAATTTTGAAAGGGTGAAAAATGTTTGTAAACAATGAGAGTATATTAGTAAAGTAAAGGTTTAGAAGAATACATTTAATTAATTAATATTAAAAACGTGTTTTTATAGATATAATTTTGTATGCATACACTTATCTCATAATATTAGGTTGGGTTATACAGTTTAATTTATAATCCTTATCACATCTCATCATATATGACCAACAGTTTGATTTAAAAATCTTATCGCTAATATTGATTAAAACAAAATTTCGTGAAGATATAACCAAAAAAAGAATTTCCATTATTAAGTAATTTTTATAATTTAGCATATATTCAAAAAATATAATTATACACCACTGCACTGGCCACAATATGATATTATTTAAACATCCACCTTTTAAATACAATGATAGTTAAGTCACAGTATGAAAATTTACTCATACTGTAAGTTATATCATATTATACTAATTTAGAAGACATGCATATAACAATTATGATGTGATCATTACGGATTAGGTAGTACTATTTTCAATTGACCATATAAGTGCAGAATATTGGTTAAAATAACTGAAAAATCTAAACATGATGAGATAGAATTCTGCCTTATTACATTAAAAGTATGGCGCTATTTAGAGTTAAGACTGTGTCTATTTTTTTATATTATTGCCAAACTTTTTATTTTTATCCCTTAATTATAATATACTATATTATTAACTATATAAACACTCACTGTCAGTTAAATTGCTAAGTTTGTTGTCTAAAAACAAAACAAATTTTACATAATTAACAAATACAATGTACAATGTAGTCAAAGCGATCATAAGAGGTTGGATACACAAAAAAAAAATGGTTCTATAACAAAATTATGTAATGGTTGCTTGTACTATCTTTAGCTTGTGGCACTCTATACTGATTTAGTCTTTATTTTTGATAAACCACTAGCCGAATGTTGGCTTAAACTATTACTGCTAAAAATGTACATCATTAAATAAAAAAAATTGTAGGTTATGTATTCGAGGTTACTAATTTACAATCTTGATGGTAATTTTAAATACTCCTAATTTTGGGGGATTAAAGGTGATATTTTTTATTATCTAAAGTTAAATTTTTGAGTCACGTTTACTTTATAAATGTTTGACTTTGCTAAAATAGTTTAGATAAGAAAGTAAAGAGTATTTTTAATATATATAAAAAAATATTGTTTGGAAAACGTATATAACATCTTCTCGTTTTGAAGGTCACAAACAGATTAAAGTAGCACATGTCAGTTCAGATTAAATTTTAGTAATAAAATATAAATAGGCAGTTATTTACAGGCAATTTTATGATCAAGACAAAGCGTTAAATTGTTTAATGAATTTGTAACAAAAATAGTTCAACAAAAAGTAACACAATATAACGACACAGATGAATAAATTTTCAATTACATATTATGAAATAACGTTACAAATTGCCTAAATGACTTAAAAAAAAAAAAATAATAATAATTTTAACTCACTGGTCGTACAAATCTGATCACAGCATTCTGGAATAATAAATTGTATTATCATAATTTCGTAAAATATAAAATTGTCAGCGAGGTCACAGTTCTACAGTAATTATTATAGCTGAAAGTGATAAAAATCCTCTCAAATAAATACTTTAGTGCGAATCTGTGGGTAGTAAGTTTAATCCAGTCCAAAAGCACATTTAGAAAGTGTCAAAGTGAGGTCTAGTGTGTCAAAATTTGCATCGAAGCGTTTATTAGAAATTATATCACATTGCATAAATAAGCCATCTGGATTGGGGTAAAGTTGGTTAAAATTATATGTGTAAGACTGCGTTAATTTTAAATTTAATACCAGTTTGTAAATTGTATACAACAAAAAAAATTTAATAGTTGTCAATAAAAATATTAACACAACTTGATAAAAATTGTTCAAAATGTATATCGTGTTTATGTTAAATTTTACAAAATATTAAAACAAATCTGTACATAGTTAGAGATAAATATGATTCTTATAAATCTCAGTTTCGCATCGATACTAAAAAAATGTAATAAAAAATTATTCAAATATTTAGGTCATACCGTACTCCGTTGCGCATTTTATATTTTTTATAACAATGCAAATAGTAACCGCAAAAAAACAGAAAACCTGTAGCTTAGTCATTTTCAATCGATATCTAAAAAAAAATAACGGTATAATGTCAAATTCAATAGTAATACGCATAAAATATGTGTTTGCGCAAAATTGCAGTAAAGATACTTTTTGGAATATTCTAGAACTATAACATGGATAATCCATATCTTCTTCTTCTTTATCTTCGCCTTACACTCCCAACTACATGGGGTCGGCCACCCTAGTCCTACACCTCCATAGAGGTCGGTATTCTACATCTCGTTCAAACACCCCAGCTATCCTCATATCACTCTCTATTCCGTCCATCCATCTTTTCTTTGGTCTTCCTCTTCCTATTTTTCCTTCTACATTAATTTGCATAACACCTCTCACTGTCTCTGCATCATCTCTTCTCATAACATGACCGAACCATATCAGTCTATTCTCTCTCATTTTGTCCACAATTGATGCAACCCCTAGATACTCCCTCTTATGTAAAATTTAAGTAAATTTAAAAATTAAAGACGTTTAACATAGTTTAAAACTGTAGTTCATTTTTACTTGTTTTCAAAGTAATTGACATTTAAAAAAAAATGCGCTACAGTTGATTGGCAAGTTGTTCTTGTAGTAAAATTATTTTTTTCTTTTGACATTTGTATGTCTTTGCTATGGCACACACACGGAAAAATGACACCGACACCGGTTATCATATCGAAAAATAACAGCTGATTGGGGTGAGAGATAGGGGGTAAGAGATAGAGGTAAGAGATAGGGGTGAGATATAGGGGTAAGAGTTGGGGTGGAAATGGTGCTGGGGGCATTTATGTTGTATTCACAACGTTCAAAATATAAATGAATAATAAATTCGATAATTTAAAGGGCCAAATTCTCTATTAATTGTTTTGACCCAGATATTATGAAAACACTAAAATATTAGACAGAAACTTGATAGGTTTACTAGCCACCTTAGATACATAAAAATGTATCCCATGGTGTTGCGGTCTCGTACGCAAGCTGTTTATCTAACTTTTGTACTACATTTTTAGAATAACATTTTTTAAATAATTTTTTATTTATTTATTTATTTTTTACTTTTTAGTTATAAAAGGTACAAAATAATTGTGTATAGATTACTAAATAAATTTTGGAAGATTTGGAAAAACATGAAATTTTAGTGAAATACCCACACATATGACCCTGTGTACAACGACTTGGAGGTTCGAGTCCCAATATTATTACAGGATATGGTACTGGGGGGGGGGGGAATATGAATAGCCATGATCACATTATATGAGTACATTATGAAAAAAAAAATTAAATTTCTTATTAAACCCTATGAGACATTGAGTGGTTCACGATAAACTAATCACTTTGTATGTTCTACATTCAGAAAATATATAAAACCAATAAATGAGGCGCTCAGATGCCAAACCGATTAACTCCATAAAATTTAATTTTTCAGGACAAGCAGTTAAAGTTACTTGTGAAAAAAATTAATAACTTAGATCACATTATATAAGTAGGTAGTGACTAGGTACATTTTTTATTCAAAAAGAATTATTCGATTAAATTTAGAAAGATTTATTCGAATAATATGAAATTTAATTATTCGAATAAATAAATAGTTTGTATAATTATTTTTAAAAATATTATTGAAATAGTTTGTAAATGTTTTTTACAAGAAATTTTGTTTGAAAATATTATTACGTTGAATTCTAATACGTTTTACATTTAGGAAATATATAAAACCAGTTTATTATATAGAAAGATTTTATTTTATTCGAATAGTTTTAAAAATAATTATTTAATTATTTTTCATTCGTATAAATTGTTGAATGCTTAGTTGAATACATTTGAA